TGATCAAGTGTACTGAGGTACAGTGAAAAGTGTTGTCTTGCGTGCTTTAAAGCAGATTGTACTATACAAGTGCAACAGGGTAACAGAACAGAGTGTAGGATATAATGTTACAGCTGCTGAGAAGGTGCAGTTTTTTTTTAAACCTACTTTTGCTGCTCATGGCTATAAGTAATGAGATTTCTTGTCTTGAAATAAGGGTTAAAAAATGAATTAAGGGTAATGTATGTTTGTGCCACAACCAATTGCAAATGCATCTTCTCAACAGTGCTTTACTAATTTCTTCCCCCAGATGGCACCAATAACCATATCAACATAGCCTTTTATTTCTAGTACACTACTCAACATTGTTTTCTTTTGTTTTTTCGTGTTTGACAGTGTTCAAGGCTTTACTAGAATAATTTTGTTTTTGGAATATACATGAACCAAAGCAAAACACAAGAATGCTAATAATGATGAAGATATTGAATTTTATTTGTTAAACATTGAAATATTTAATTTGAAAACCTCAAATTCGTGCAGTTAGACATATATTAATCAAGTGTTAAGGGTATTTATTGAAATATTGAAGTAAGGTAGTCAGTAAATGGATAAAAACAAAATGTTGGAAGTACTTAAGCCTGGCAGCATTTGTAGAGATAGAAATAGTCAACACTTCGAGCCTGATCTTTCATTGCTCTTCTTGTTGAAGTCAATGAGCCTGCTTAATTATAATCATAAAAGCATGAGAAATGGACATCCGAACCATAGAAACGCATTACTCCTACTTTCTAACTCTTCAACAATCGCATACCCTTTTGAGCGGTGCTGACATTCGTGCTGCCTGCCAGATTGCACCAAATATTTATCACGTTTTGAGTTAAGAAGTATTTCGTCATATCTGTTTTAAATTAATGCCCTCTGATCCTCTTTTTCTGGATTAATTTGAAGCAATATTCACTGCTGTTCATCATACTTGCTGTAAATTCCCATATGTTGTAGAGAGGTCTTAAAGCTTATTTTGAGCACTGTTGCAATTGTTACATAGTAATATCATTTCAGAGGGTGCCAGATGGCTGGGGTATCAACAGCCAGTAATTAATTGTAAATGAGTAACTGCCAATAATAAACTTAGGGGTGTGAATTAAAACAGCAGTGTTCTATAAGCATTGCTGGATCTCTCAAATTGCACAGCAGCCATTAAATGAGTTAGATTGTTTGTTATGGGTTTTAACTGTACTGGTTTCTCAAGTGGAGTGCAGCTCCATTCATACTACAAAGATAATGCAATATAATATTGTTCATGTAATAAGTTAATAATACCTTATTTCATGTGTGCGTGGCCAAAAATCTGAATAAATCAAAATGATGTCCATTGATTTCTGGAGTATATAACATGCATGTTATTTGAAAGAATAACTTGGTACAATGTTGTTGTCTTGAAGAAAAACAATGCTACATATTTTGGTTAATCTCTTGATTTTTCTTCATTTGTTTGCTGTTAACCTAACTGTATAACTATAAACTTCATTATGTTTTGTATTTTGAATAATGAGTGTTTCACACAGTTGGTCAAGGAGTAGGGAAGAGGCTGTGACTTGGAGGTTCAATATTGTGAGAGGTGCTAATCAGGTTGCGCCGGAAGGAATATTAAAACGAATGTTGCAAAGCTCAACATGATCGACAGGTCCCAACAATGTAGCCATATTAAAGCAAAGCAGTGTTAAACAGGACAACTTTGAAGAAAAACTTACTGTATAAGTAGGACAAAGTCCTTTCAATGGTGTAGGTGGAGGAGGAAAGCGACAGTTGATTCCCTTTTAGGCTAATTCTTCCCCCTCCTCTTTCTGAAGCCGACAATTTGACGGTTGGAAATGCATGCTTGCGCAGTGACATTCCTCTTGTATACAGGCAAATACATCATTCTAGACCTGTGAAGTACTTAAGTATATCAATAGCTGGGATGCTTTTATATTTTTCTCTCTCATCCTACCAAAAGTAGTGTCATGTTTGTTTTAAAAGCTAGGCGAGCTATCTTAACGCTTAATGTAGCTGCTGCCTTGGATGCTGCAAAGCAAATTCAGTTTTGTACTGTTGACCTTTTCCTTACCCAGAGGCAGCAGTAGATAGCATCAGAATGATTCAGTCCTGTGACATATGAACGTTTACAATCCATCTGTTTGTATCGATGTGACTCTTCAGTTGGTTATGGATTTGTCCATTGCCATTCAAATCCAAGCAGTTGAAAGTGAATGTAGAAAAGAAAGATATTTCTTCAGCTGTAGAAGAATCAAGGGATGGAAGTACTTATTGCACCTGGCAGCAGCTGTCAGGATTGGTACGAAACCAGGAGAATGAATCCTTTTCCAACATAATATTACAAAATAAAGAAAAGTTTGTTTTTTATTTACCTTTTTTGGTGGGCGCTGTTTGCAAGACCATAATCTTCTGTTTCTGTGTGCTTGTTTAACTCAAGGAGGTTCGGTTTCCTAGAAGCATTATAAAACAGCATAAAAAAGGCATAACAACACATACCAGGAAACTACAGCTTATTTGAAATAGCCACTCTGCCTGAAAAACAGGTTGGCCCAATATTGGGTTGGAGCTCCTTTTGAGGCATCCCTAGGACGCAGATGTTGGTCCTTGGAATTGGCCTTTGTTACATTTGTTTTACAGCGACCACAGAGCAAACCAAAGTCCAGTTTCTAGAGATAACAAGGTGTAGAGCTAGATGAACACAGCAGGCCAAGCAGCATCAGAGGAGCAGGAAGGCTGACGTTTCGGGCCTAGACCCTTCTTCAGAAATCAGTTTTTAAAGTTTAAAAATATCATTTTCTTTAAGTCTGTTTTATTATAAAACAATCTGGGTTGGGCAGCAATATGAATTTGAGGTTACATGATTTTATTAAATGGAGGAGCAAGGTTTAATGGCCAAATGGTCTATTTTTGCTTTTCATTACACGTTAACACATTTTAAATTTGACTTCATGGAACTATTAAGAATGTTAACTGACTTGTACATATATCGCTGCTGAAGCTTTAGAACCACCCAAGGATAAAATAATGAGCAACAGGTTTATAGAGTTGGAGGTGATTGCAAAAATGACCTGGAAGAAGGCTGGGATGATAAACTAAAGTTATTAAGAGACAGAAAGTCATTGAAGAATGGGGTTCAACCATCAACCATCACAATGTCATTGTGATGACAACAATAATCTTAATAATGCCATTGACAGCTTTACATCTGAGCTTCTCAGAGAATGCTGAAGCTGGCCAAGAGGGCAATGGTATAATAGAGTCTGGAGAATGGCTCGGGAGAGACAATTTTCAGCAACTAGAGTGAAATGAAGTGGGGGGCGCAGCATGGAGGAACATATTAGATGATATTATGGATTAGAAATATGTTCATAATGATGGAGGGGATAAAGAGGTGGGAATTCACCTCATGGTTGAACATTACACTGAGGTTGCACACGATCTGCTTTAACCTGAGATATTGGACAAGAAGAGGAATGATGGAGTTAGTGTCAACAGCCAAAGATATTAGCTCCAGTTTTAGTAATATTTAACTGGCATAACTAACTGCTCTTCCAAACGGGATGTTGTGGAGGAGTGGAGAAGGTTAAGAGACATTGTTATGAGGTAGAACTGGGTGTCCCATCTGTGGGTGAATTTCACTGAGGAATAGCATGCAGATGAGGGAAGGACTAAGGATTTTTGGGGACTGATAAGATGATAATGCATGAATGGGTAAAAAAGCCATTGCTAGAATTATTCTGGCTGTTCAATCTTGTTTTGCATTTCCCTTTTCCCCTGAGGTGGGAGGAGCTTCAGCTTCATCCATCCAAACCCCACTGATATGGCCCTTCAGTTTTTCACACCATGTTAAAACATTGAATTGTCGTTCATTTTCCAGAAATACATACACATGTTATCATGGTTGTTCATCATACATGCAGAGTTTTCTTTCTACTTCATTAGCTCTCTTTCACCTAAATGAAACAAACAGTGCACTCATAAAATGCTGTATTTGAAATAAGTGAGCAAAATCATTTTTCAAATGGAATGAAAGGATTGTTGGAGTTACCAAGTGCATTCGCCAACTGCTTTTTGCTACCACCATATGTTTTCACTACTGCTTGCGTTTCTGCAAGCACTGTGTACAAAGCATTCAATTAAAGTGATTCATTTACCAGGTAGCAAGCAGCCTGCACAGTTCATATTTACTGAACTGTGCTTTAAAAAGGAAGAAAAACATGCCTGTATTTGAATTAGTTGATTTTTATGGTCCTGCTGATAAAGGGCAGATGTTCTCATGTTGCAGTTTTCCCAGATTGTGGCTCTCAGATGGGTCTGCAGTTAGGTTAGACTGTGTATAGGAACTGGAATATCTGTAGCTAAAGCTGCACTATGTATCCCTTTCATGAATGCTCTTCCTGCTTGATACTTTTGTATATTAAGTATGTTATAATTTTCATTTTTCAAAGAACATCACGAAACTAAGATGTCACAGTTCTGATGCTGAAAAAGCCGCAACAGAAGGTTTTTGGTGTTTCTTCTTATTCCCCCCTGCACCTGAGGTTTGGCCAATCAATTTTCTGTAACTTGTTAACAGAATTTTGCGCTGGTTCCTCGGCTAAACCAAAGCTTTTGGAATTTCGCAATTAGATTAGCGACAACTAGGTATTATGTGCTGTCCTGTGTTAAAATTAGTAAGCATGCAAAATATATGAAGTCAGTGAAGTTTGTGTTCATTTCAAAGTGATAAATATCTGAAAGCATTAGTACCTCTTAGTCCTTACTTATAATTTTAAAGTGCTGCATTTTAAAAAGAACTTATTGTGTGAAAACATGGTAGAAATTAATTGTGTGCAGTTGATTTTTTTTTGTTCTTGACTTCCATGGTCATGCAAATTGAATAAATACTGATTCAGGGCCCATGTTCTGAAGTCTGTGTCAGTATTCTTAGATTCATCTTCTATAGTAGTTGCGTTCTTGTGTGACTTCATTACCTGTATGTCAGGAAACACTGGCTTTCTACTCAGAAGGAAGTTTAGTCTCTGAAGGCCTTTGGAAACTGATTTGTCAGGTAATCAATGCTGATCTGAACACTTTATCTGCATTACCTTACTGAATAACAACTTTGATCTAGCACCTTTTAATGTAATAAAATATTCTAAGATGCTTCACAGGGTGCAATCAGACAAAAGTTGACAACAAACTTGGTATGTTTTCAAATCCTCTTAAAAGAAGAGTGCTATAGAGAGGCAAAGAAGTTGAAGAAATTCCAGAATCTAGTTTGAGATGGCAGAAGCTATTGTTGCCACTGTTGTAGGGATGTCAAGAGCCCAGTTAGCGGCTTGTACAGAGGAGCAGAAAGGTTCATTCTCGTAACCTCAAAAATTACTTTATTAACATATTAAACAAGACACGTGTTGCTTAAATGCTTTTATCACAAAACTAGACTGTATATATTTTCCCACAAACTGAATTAGGACCCAATTATACACCAACTGGAATCCTTTGGCACCCGCCAAGTGGTCACAGAATATGAAAGCTAGTACCCGATCAGAATAGCTGCTGCTGACAAGGGCTGATGCTGGCCGGGCGCTGCAGCCTATGTTGCCGCCACATCCTTGATGTACGGTCTGCTCTGCGATAGTTGGCCTCCGGAGTTTTCACCGGCTGCATGCCCCGAGGGTCGTCTTTCTATTTATTTCTTATCCCTCTCAAGTCGTGCTGTCTTCTTCCTGTTGGCTCAGGCTAATTCATTTATCGCGTGCCTTTACCTTATTGGCCCTGGCCCAGAGACTTAGGTAGCATCTCCTCATTAGTTCTCGTTCAAATAAGGCCTTTGCATTACCTCATCTTTGTTACTTTTTGCAGAACTTAATTAATTCAAAACGGTTTAAATCGGCTCAAACTGGCACCTGGGCGCAGGTTGTTTTTAGTTCACAAGCTGCTTTTTTCGTTTCAGCACCGTTGTATTCAGTACTCCCTGTTAGCGATATCAGCGGCTGGTACCTTTTCTGTCTACCTCTGTCTCTCTGCAGCCTCTGGCTAACGGAGAAGAAGTTTGAGGCGTGAGTTGAAGGAGTACAGAAATCTGGTCGAGATTACAGAGATTGACAGAGCAAGTTGATGAGGACTGGAGCACAAAGATGAGGGCTTAAAAATTGAGGTTTGATAGATTGGAAACCACTGTAGAATGGTGAAGAGTGATGAATGAACAAGATCCAGCATGAATCAGGATTCGGGCTGCAGATTTTTGTATTTATGGATGGTGGAAAATGGGTGTCCACTAAGCATTGGAGCAGTTAAGTCTGAAAGTATTAACATCATAGATAAGGGTTTCATAAGCAGATAGTCCAAGGCAGAGATTGGATGAAGTTGGAAACAAGTGGGCTTTGTGATGAAGAAAATATGGGCTTGAAAATTCAATCCCAGGTCAAATGGGATGTGACAATTCTGGTGTAGTGTGAAATAATTAAAGAAATTATCCCTTGAAATTTTTTTGCAACAGCTGAGATCCATTCTATTCATAGTCATACAGTGTAGAAACGGACCGTTTGGTCCAACCAGTCCATGCCGACCATCCCAAACTAAACCAGTCCCATCTGCCTACGTTTTAGCCATATCCCTCCAAACTTTTCCTGTTCATGTCTTTTAAACGTTGTAACTGTACCTGCATTTGCCACTTCGTCTGTGTAATAAAAAAACAAGTTGCCCCATGTCCTTTTCAAGTCTTTCTCCTCTCATCTTAAAAATATGCCTCCTGGTTTTGAAATCTCCCATCCTAGGGAAAAGACCCTTGCTATTTACATTATCTATGGCTCCTCATGATTTTATAAACCTCCTTAATGTCACCACTCAACCTCCTCTGTCAGAGGAAAGAAGTCCCAGTCTATCCAGCCTCTCCTTATTACTCGAACCCTCAAGTCCCTGCAACATCCTGGTAAATCTTTTCTGAAGTGTCTCCAGTTTAATATCCTTCCTATAACAGAACAACCAGAACTGCACACGGTACTCCAGAAGAGTCCTGTGCAACCTCAACGTGACTTCCCAACTCCTATATTCAAAGGTCTGAGCAATGAAGGCAAGCGTGCTTAATGCTGTTTTAACCTCCCTATCTGTGATGCAAATTTCAAAGAATTATGTACGTGAACCCTTAAGTCTCTCTTCTACAACACTACCCAGGCCCCTGCCATTAATTGTATAAGTCCTGTCTTTGTTTGTTTTACCAAAAAGCAATACTTTACATTTATCCAAATTAAACTCCATCTGCCACTCCTCAGACTTGATGAGCTGAAGGGGATTCCTAAATCCCCTCTGTACCATGATTGGCATGATTCTATGATGGTAGATAAAGACTGCCCTTTTTGAATATATAAAATTAATCCACTGCAGCCAGTGTGTTTAAACGACATCATATGGTAACTTGCTGTTGTCAAAATATAGTTGATGCCAAATGTGAGCAGTACAAGACCACACTTTTCAAATTGTTTCACACTTAATTCCTAGTTTCTACAAAATTAACTATAATGCATTACAGAACATCATCTGTTTATTTTCATTCTTTGTATACTTCTTACAGGTTTATTTTTAAAACGAGTAATTTGTGTCAAATCTCAGTAGTGATCTGTGAGAATGTCGAATGTTCTAAATTAACTTCTAAAATATTTTACAAAAACTAACCTGAATGTACTGTACATTGGGAAGTTGACGTGGTCAACTTTTTATGGCTTGGGTTTCTGATATCATTTTTTAAAAGCAGCATATGTCAACAGAAATGAATTCCCATCTGTTCCTCTCTCTTGCTTAATATACCAAAAGTCGAACAACAATGGTCCAGGACAATGCATAGCTGTATTTGTAATTACAGGTGTGATGTAAAAATGACACATTAATCAGCCTCTTTATCGTAGAAGTAAATCTTTTCTATCCTGTAATCAGCATTTGTTTTGTACTTGTTTTATTAGTGGGATCCATCTGCTGCCTGAGAGAATGTTTAATTTTGAAATCTAATAACTCAAGTGATTCAACCTGGTTTAAAAATTAACCATTAGAAACATGTTCAAATGCCAACTGTCAAAAGGAATGTGGAAAAAAAAGCCTGTTTATCTTTGTGAATATTAATCAAAATGAAGAATAGAGGCTTTTAAAATTAAATGTGACTATTTCATTTTTTAATATTGTAGTATATCAATTTTCATGGAAATTTGTGAAACTAATCCTTGTGTCTCAATGTTTTCTGTTAACGTATCAGACAGAAGTCAGAATCTGCAAAGCCACGTTTCTTCAGTAATTGCAAACATTTGCTTACTGTTGAGCAGAAGAATATTCTTTTGTGTATGGTTACTTCAACGCAGCCAATTAAATTATGATGCAATATATTTCTGTGCTTCATGGTTCATTTTAAATATTCAATCTCTGGATTATTTAAAGAAATTATTTGTGATAATAATTGTTCATCAGTCTATTTTTCTAATAACTTTTTATTTTCTTCTTCACCTGAAACTAGGATGTACTGAACGTACTTGCCAAACATTGTTCACCCCGCTTCTTTTTAATTGGTTTGCCTGGTTTCACCATGATGGTTGGAGATTTCATCACAGTTGCAACCCAAGTCCTCAATTCAGATGTGGTGGATGTGAGTACAACTGCTTTGTCTATGGATTTCTCCACTCAAACAGGTGTTTGTTCATTAATGTCACATGAGACAGATTGCTCCGTGCCGATACTGTGCCATCAAATGTGTGAACTGCACTAGCATAAAGGTGTTTCATCCAAAGGCTAGAATGAGACCAACTATATAGTCGTACTGCTGCAAGTCTTATACAAAAATGATTTCTAAATCTTAGTAGCTGTATTTTTCTAAATATAATTATGCTAAAGCCTGAATATTTATTATTTAGAAGTATAGAGTAGTTGCAACACAGATTAAGGCCCATCAAGCAGTTAGGTCCAAGCCAGTTATCTCGCACACCTTCGTGTAGTGATGTCTCCTCACCTTTTCCCTATAGTCCTGCAATTTTTTTTCCTTTTGATTTTCTAATATTGGTTTGAATCTTCCTTCACCATGCTCTTAGTAGTCTGTTCTGGCTCCTAAGCATTTGCTGTTTTGAAAACCTCTTTCTTCGTGGTGCCTTTGACTTTTTTGACATTCACCTTTTAAATTGGTGTCCTTTGGTTCTTGACCTTTCCATCAATGGGAAAAGTTTATTCTTATACACTCTGTCTAGACACGTCATGAATTTGAACATGTCTTATTTCCTCTCACTCTTTCGTGAGGAGAACTGTTCCAACTTTTCCAATCTATCCTAATGACTGAAGGCAAAAGCAGATGTTTTCAGTATCTCATTTAGTACCTTGGCAATGGTCCTTGCCTCCATGTAAAAATCTCCTTTTGGTCTGCAATAAACCCCATTTCTCTTTTTTTGACACATCTTTATGATTTATATGTCAATGAAATGCATCTAGATTCACTTTTATGTTGGCTGCTATTTAACCAATTCTCAATTTGACCACCTGAGCTTTGTTAATTGTGTTAGAGGGACTCTGACTTTTATTGTCTGCCCTTTTTCCCTTAATCCAAATTTTTGATTGTACCCAAATCATCCTTTCTTTAAAGGCAGTCCATTGTTCAGTTACAATTCAATTTGCCTGTCAATCTTAATTCCAATTTACCTGGGCCAGATCTGCTGTCACTCCATTAGAATTGGTCGTCCGCTGATTCATTCATAATTACTTTGGATTGTACCCTGCCCTTTTCCAAGGTAACTAAAGATACTATAGTATTATGATCAATGACTTCTAAATGATTATTGACATTGATCCACTTCACTCACCTCATTTTCTAGAATCTCATCCAGCAATGTTGCCTTCCTTGTTACATCAGAAACAGTGATTTAAAAGAGTCTTCTGAACATTCTTCAGGAATTCTTCCCCCAATCTGCTCCTTATGGAATAACTTTCCCTGTTATGTCAGGATAATTAAATTAACCATTATAACTGTCAAAATTTTGCACCTTTCAGTAGTGTCCTTGTAAAATTTGCTTTTTTACACCATACCCATTGCAGTTTATAGAATGTGTACATAGTAGTGTAGTGGTATGCCTATTATTTTGTTGGATCTGACTGGCTGAATTTTTTTCCTTCATGCCACTAAGGCATCTTTTTTCTCCAATACCGTGATATTCACCTTCTTCAATAATACACCCATTGTTCTTTTATTGTTGGGGTCCACTAGCGTTAATGCCATTGATGTCAATGGGATGCTCTCATGATCGTGAGGAAAGGTCAGTGATGAAGCAGCTGAAAATAGTTGGACACGATGGCAGATCTCCTCAATATGAATACAGAACTTTGACCAGTCTTATTGATATATTGATATCAATGTACATATGCATCATGGAACACAGATTAGTTAAGAAGAGGTCATGTTTATTCGTTTGTTCACCAACTTCTGCAGACCCAGTCTAGCGCTATGTCCTTTGGGACTTGATCAGCTTGGTCAGTAGTGGTACTGCTAAGTCACACTTGGTGATGGGCATTGAAGTCACCCACCCAGAATACATTGTGTGTTTTTGTTACCCTCAGTAATTCCTCCAAATGGTAACCAGTATGGAGGAGAAATGATTTTTTACCCAATGGGGTAGGATGTAATCAGTAGGAGGTTTCCTTGCCTGTTTTTGACTTTGTTAGTGAGGAGGACTGAGTTTGCCGTTGTTGTTTCTTGATCCTTAGTCAGCGTCAGGTTGTCCAATGAATTTCATTCCTTCCTTTGAGAATTTCATGCTTTGATACAACTGAATAGTGTACTTGGCCACTTCAGAGTCAACCACATTGTTGTGGGTCTACAGTCTTGTAGGCCGGATGAGATTTTTATGATAACGAGCATTGGTTTCATGGTCATGGTTAGACTTCTAATTCCAGATTTTTATTGAATTTCAACTCCACTGCCTTCTGTGGTGGGATTCAAACCTGGGTTCCCAGAACATTACTAGTCTAGTGACAATACCACTGCACCATTTCTTCTCTTCCTCCTGAAATCTCACCAGACACGCATTCATCTGCTCATTCTTATCATTTCTGTACTCTTGAAGTTGCTACATTTGAGATCTTTCATTTTAGTTTCTTTCCTAGCTTCTAAATCTCTGCCTACAGGACTTCATTCCTCTTTTTACTTACGTCGTTAGTACCACTATAGACCATGACTGCTGGCTGTTCACCATTGTCCATAGTGTTGTGCAGCTGCTTAGTAACTTCAATAACAAGGTGTAGAGCTGGATGAACACAGCAGGCCAGGCAG